GCAATCCATTGTGAAAAAAGTCCATATTCTGGAGCAAGCATTGATCTTTATCCCACCCTTTATAGTTTTGTTCATAGGTTTATCACTGAGTGACAATGGGAGAAATTTTTTGAGCAACCTGAGGCAACTGTAATACCTATTGTTCAGGAATTTTATGCTAACATCCCATAACATGAGAATGGGCAGGCTTTTGTTTGAGGATGTTAGGTATGCTTTGATAGTCACACAATTTATCAATTATACAACTTACCAGATCTTGAAAGTGATAAGTATGGGCAATTTTTAACTAACAATATTGATTTGGATGGAGCTATTAGAGTGTTTGTAATGAGGGTGTAGCGTGGAAAATGAATAAAGGCGTACCAATGTATCTTAAAGCCAATGTAATGAATTATGATCACAAGTTATGGTATCATTTTTTAATGGGAAGATTACTTCGTATGAAACATGTAAGTGACATGACAAGGGATAGAGCCATTTTATTATATGCCATTGTTTTTTGAATCTCAATCAATATGGGTCAAGCGGTGTTCAATAGCATTGTTCAAGTTGCTCACTCGCTATAGGATGGACTTTGGTATCCTTCCTTGATCATAGCTTTGTGTAAGAAAGTGGAAGTGAGTAGTGACAAAAATGAAGAAATTTTGCATCCTAAAGTTCCTTTGGATTCAAGCATTATGAACAAGGTTTATGCTTGGGAGTACTTGGCTACTGGAGGAAGTTCTTCATTAGCTGCTCCCTGTCCACCACCACCAAGGCAACCTTAGCATTTTTCCACGCCTTAAAGGATGGAAAGGCTTGAACTTTGAATGGATCATCATGTAGCATGTATGTAGTCTATTGAGCAGATGATGCGAGCATGTTGGCATGGACATGGCAATTTTTCCTACTCTGCCAGATGATCTCACAATGGAATACCTGAATAAAGATGACAAGGAGGATGATCAATAGCAGTTGGTCACAAGTCAATGGAGTATTTCTTTTCCTTGCTTTTCATAACATTGGGGACAATGTTATTTTCAAGTTGTGGGGACTAGGGGGGGATTCTCTATTTTTAGATTTGTTTTCCTTATGATTTTAGTTTTTAAGATTAAGTTATTTAACATCTAATTTGTTGCATGTTTTAAGAACTTGAGCTAGATTTAATTGTACCAATTTCTTTTAATTTACCTATCCACTGATGAGGACCTAGTTATATTCTTATTTTGATTTTTTGAAACATGTGAATATTGTTTATATCTTATGTAAATTCTTATACTAAGCTTCATTGTTAGGATGAGATTTCTACAATGTGAGCACCTTGTCTTAGCTTAGATTCATTGTACATATTTAAAGAAAGTTTATGTGAGTGTAAATTTTTGAATTATGTATTGAGTTCTAGAATTTGTTTGATTCTCTCTCGAGGCACAATCATAAGCTATACTTAGTTAAAGAAATAATATAGGTCATCTTTGGACCATTTGAGGTTTTTTAGCCTACTTTTACATAATTTATCCTTAGTTTACCCCTTTAAACTTAATATAACTTTTTCTTTGTTTAAGCACTTAATTAGTAACCTAGACCTTTTTCTTTGTTGCATCCCTCACTCCTAAGTGCTTAAGTCAATTTAGGAAATGTAATGAGCAATATAATGAAAAAGGTTGTAAAGATTAAAAATGATTTAAAAGATCAAAAGTATGATTGTATTCATTTTACTACCCAACAAAAGAAACAAGTTTCATGGTGTGATATTGAAAACAACAAGCAAAAAAAGGAAGAAACAGAATGAAGTATTGAACACAAGAAAAATTTGATTAAAAAAGGGTGTATTTAGTGAAGGAAAATAAAGCTCAAAATAGGCTCTCGAATGACTATGTGCTTAAGGTGACTTGAGCTACATAATATTTCATATCCTACCTAGACCTTAGCCATACATTACAAGCTTGATAAAGACCTAATATTTCTTGATTTAGTATTAGTCTACATTAGTGGAGAGAGAGATGAAAAGCAAATTTATGGAATTCAAATACTAATTTGAATTTTGCATGCGTATAAACTTATCCAAATTGTATAATGTTTTTAGTTAAAAGATTGCACACACACATAGAAATCCACTTGACGACGAGTTTGCATTTGAATTGAAACATGAACTTGAATAATATTTATGCGTTGCTTAAAGTTGAGATTATGGTATATCTAATGAAGACATTAAACGTGATTTTTGAGTTGGTGCAATTTATTTATAGTTAAGTTGTTTTCTTCATTTCTGTTATTGCATTTTAGTTTATATTTTGCTCGAGGACTAGTAAACTCTTAAGTTTGGGAGTGTGATAACTTTATTATATAGAGTTATTGTGTCACATTTTTGGGGTTTAAGCAGCTAAGTCTTTGAAATTTTAGGTTCGAAACTGAGTATTTTATTTGCCTTTTTAATTAAGTCTCATGCATGTTGAATAGTTTAGTTTAAGTTATTTTAGTTTAATTTATGTTAACTTGCTTTAAATTACTTTAAGGTTAGTTATTTTCGATCTCTTTTATTACTTTTGTAGGAAATTTAATGAAAAGGCCTTATTTGATGATAATCCGTGTAAGTATGGTGATAGCTTCGTTTATATATGTTTTAGTATTTTGAGCATAACTCAAGCTATAGAAGTTCAGTTGACATAATTTTTGAGCCATTAGAAAGATAAGAGACAAGGCTACAACTTTCATGTCTACGACTTTATCCAGTTCAATAAAAAAAAAAAAACATTGCATCACAAGATGAAGTAGTGTAGTCGACATAGCATAAAAGAAGACATCCCATACATTGACTTGAGAGTAGGGCACCGCGATGCCAAGGAAACCAAGGTCGTAGCACCAGATGAACTTACAAAATTGCATTTTTATGAGAATTTTGAACCTAAGGCTTTTGGAGACTTATTTAAGGGTCCTTTTTTCATAGATTTTCAAATGGGAGTTAACAAGCAACTATTTTGAAGAAAAAGTGCTAAAAACAAAGCAAGAAAGTAAGAGAATTCAAGGGATAATTGCGATAAAAAAGCTGCAAACTATTAGTTTTTCTCTCTATTCTTGTGTTTATCTTATTTTCTAGGGTAAAATACCCATAAACCCCTAAGTTTTGATCAAAATTACACATAGGTCCATTAGTTTGAGAAATAAACACTTCATCCCAAAAGTATTAGCACTATTAATAAAAAATGAAAAGACTGAAATACTCTTTCCTCTTTCTCTCAATTTTTTTTTAGAGAATTTGACTGGTCGATAAAGCTCCCTTACATCGATCGACCATCCTGTGGCTAGATATGGCACTCTTCAACAATGAGGAGCACCAGATCTAGTTGGCTCCTAAGCTTATTTAGAGGGGAGCTTAGTGCTCCTTTAACGGGGAGCTTTGGTGCTCACCTAAGGGAGCGTGAGAGCTCTTTCAAAGGAGAGCTCCATCCTCCCTCAGCGGGGAGCTTTGGCACTCTTTCTAAAAGGGAGCTCGATGCTTCCTAAAGGGAGTGTGCCAGATTCGGCTGAATTTGGCTCTGTGGCTAGATCTGGCCAAATCTTGTTGGAGAAAAAGGTAAGTAAGACTTTTTTGTGAAGAAAGAAAAAAATTAGAAATGAAAAATAAAAGTTTATATAAGATTGTAATTTTAGACATGTTCGAGGGTAAAATTATCCAAAAAATATTGCCACGTCAGCAAACTAATGACAACATTAACGATTGACAAATGGTTGGAATTATGTGTCCAGAAATATATAGTTTTTTGGGGTGAAGTATATATTTTTCAAGTTAATGGATCTTCGTGTAATATTAATCAAAGCTAACAAATGTACAAGTATTTTACCCTATTTTCTATAACTTGGATTAATGACTAATTTTTTTTGGATGATATTTTTATTAGATATTATCAGTTAAACTATTTTTTTACGATTGTAGAGGATTTTAACATGTTATTTGAATATTTGTTTTTTTTTATTTATTATAAATGGGTATAATTTTTCTTATTTATTTTTTTTAATACTTTTGATTGTCTAGCCAATAATTAAATGATTTGTTAATCTGAATAAGACTTGGTAGAGTAATTATATATTAGACGAAGATTTGAATAATGTAAGTTCATGTTACTTAGGTGATCTGATTCGCAATTAAAGTAGACATATGCCTCAATGTCATACACAGCTAAAATAGAACAATAGCTTAATGAATCTTATTTAATTGATTACTATAAACATCTAGTAACCTAATTAAGTTAGGTATTGCATAAGCATCTCGATGGAGACTTATACATTAGTTTGGATTTTAAGTTAGCAAAATCACTTATGAATATAAATATTGAGAGAAATTGGTGTCATATGAATTGTTGAATGAACCCATAATCTTAGAGTTTAATCTATTGTCTTTCTTTAGTGAATTTTTAATTTTTGTTAATTAGTTTAGTTTTCTAATAAAATTTAATTTTAATTAATTGTTTACGAAATCAAGTTACTTGAATAAGATTGATTTGTCATAATTTTAGTACTCAGTGAACAATTAGAAGTAAATTTTTGTGGGATATGATTCTAGACTTATTGTCTATATTACTTATTTAATACGTATAGTTGCATGTATTAAATCCATAACATTCAGACCAAGTCAAATAAGGTAACAAACTAGACACAAGAAGTATAATCTGATTTAAACTATTATATTTGATTATATATATTTAGATTTAGATATAGATTGAATTTAGTTAAGATTATGATTTAAGAGGTTATTAGCTTATAAATAGATTACTCACTTTATTAGTAAATACGCATTCTTAAATAAGATCTTTTTTACTTTATTACTACTTTTCTCCCATAATTTTTTTCAGTTTATATTTCTTAACAAATATTAATTTTTATTAAGTTGGATTTTAAGAAATATATTTGAAGAGTATATTTCTTAAATTTAATTGAATATTAATTAGAAAATAAAAAGATGTTGAAATTGAAAACTTTGATATAAATATAATTAAAGATAAGTGAAAAGTACAACGTATCTTTTTTGATAGAGCTAAACCGAAAGAAAGAACAACTAAACTATGGCCCGTGGGGTATTGGGTCTGATCAAACCGAACTATATTGGAGTATTTTTGTATTAAATCATTAACCGCTCTACTCTACAATCCCCCCCGCCAATCCTCTGGTTGCCTGTTTTCTTCCGATTTGGCTACAATCTTTGCTCTCTCTCCCCGACGGCGAATCTTCGGCAACTCTCCGTCAACTGGTAATGTCAGTTGATTTCCTCCCTATATTGTTCTGTTTGATTGAATCTTTTGCTTGCTTCCTCCGTTGTACTGTTCTTTGACTTAGTGTTAGATCAGAATCAGTGAAATTGTGGAGGGAGACAGTCAATTCAATAATGTTTTGCTCTATTGGCTAAAGGTTAAAGTAATGACTGTAATTTGTAATCTGTTCTAATTTCAGTGTTCACTTTGGTATATGATTAACTTAATTTATTAAAAAACACTAAATTTTACAAATATAGATATCCAAATTTATATTCATGAGTTTTTAAAGCATTCGAAGGGTGAATTTATGAATAAATGCATTATAATTCCTCTATACTTATATTGTATTAAAAAAAAAACGAAATTCTAAATATATACACACCCCAAATTCAAACTCGCGTTCCCAAAGGCTACCTAGTATGAATCTTCCCTTCTGAATTTTCTAATGCATAGTTGATCTGTTAATTTGTCCGAGAGTTTCTCTATTTAAAAGAAAATACAAAAGAAAAACCCCAATGAGTGGCTGAGAAAGTGAGTTAATTACTCTCCATGTAATTGTGCAAGAGGGTGTGCCTTGATCAGTTTCAACTATCCACTTTTAGCGCCTTTCTTCATGGTGATTTTAGATAGAATTTGCCTGATTTTTACGATAAATCTCCCAGATATTCAGAGTTACTCTCTTTTATGACTGCTTCTGCTTGGTTGCATATTTAGTTCATCTAGTTGAATGAATTTGTATAAACACAGACCAGATCACACTGAAAGAAGTTGTTTATTGGAAGAGTTTAGTCTCTATCACGGTGGACTTAAGTAGCCCACCAGCATCAAGTCTGGACAAAACACCAAAAACCTAATTACATTGCAAAGTAACAAAAAATGGTAGCTCATGTTGAGCTTGATAGTTCTTATAGACTCTCAGCCTTGGCTCTAGAAGGATTGAAGTTTGTTATTACCTATGAGTCAAATATTTTTCTGGCTATTGAAATTTCAAGATTTTGGTCAATGCATTTTTGCTAATGGGCTAACTAAACTTACCTTATATAATGGTCTTGATAGATCATGGTTTTAGGACCAAGTGACGTAGTGGAAAGGGTTTAAGGATGAAACCATGTAACAAATTTATATGATAGACTGCCATTTTATAATGTTTTTGGTTGTTCATTTGTGTACTTCTTTTCGGTCAGGTGTTGATTTTTAAACCCCAAGTGCTCAAAATTTCAGAATTCGATATATAAAATCATATTTAATTCTTCTAGCTCTAGAATCCACTTCAATCAAATTGCACTACAGTTTGGATGTACATTATAGTTATGGATTGCCTATTAGAAAACATAACTCGGTAAACTGGATGCTAGAGAAACAAATGAGTGAGCCTGTTTAACATGGGATTGAATTGCTGCTTTGGCATGTGAAGGTGCAAGCCTGAGATTACAGAACCATTGATTCCTGTTTTGTGGATCCTCACTAACTGCTGACCCTTTTGGTGCCTTACTGACTAGACTATAATTAGGTTGAAGCTGAAGATACTAGAGGAGGTCCCATGAACGGCCTCAACAGATTGACCAAATCAGGTTAATGGCTTGGGCATAAAAGTGTTAAGCCTTGATTGTCAGATCTTTAGGTGGAATCTCTTAAGGATCTTGAAGAGAGGAGGGTTTCGTGTGGTCCATGGGGCTTGTGTCAATGGTAGTGAATTTCAAGCATGTAGGATTTGGATTCCTATCAGCTAGAAGCATTACTGATGCTCAAGCATGCCCTGTCATTTCATCATATGAGATCAATTTTGTCCCCCTCATCCTGATATAACTTTTCCCCCTCCAAATTTCCTCTAGACTGATTAGTTTACTCCAAACTTTCCTTCTTGTTTCTTGTCCTATGTCTACTACTTTCCAATGGAGAAGAGCCTAAAACATGAAGCAAATGTGAGTTCATGATGGATGATATTTATGCTGTAAAAACGAATTTTTATTGGATGTTTTGAATGAGGAGAAATATGGAAATGACTCTATGAAGCACCATATAAGAAAATCAGTTGAGAAGTTTAGATGCTTTCAGATGGCATTGATGTAAATAGGTAATTTCCTTCAGTTTAGCAATATGCAAACATGAATAAATACTGAATAGAACCATAAAATATACCAGCCCCTCCACACCTCCCTGCAAAAATAAAAAGGCATTAATGGTAAGGGGAGCACTGGCACTTGTGCATGAAGATAGTTAATAATGGCTGGGAATGTCATAAATAAAGGGGATAGGGACTTTGCACCAGTTTTGGATGAAAATCTGTCTCCAAAGATGAAATCTCCAACAATTTTGTCCTCATCAGCCTCGAAAACGTGGGTCTCATTTGTGTTTACTTTGCTTTCCCTATTTTTTGTTATTGATGATCCTTGGATGTTATTTAACTGGCAATGGTGGTTGGGCAGGGGAATGGAGAGAAAAGAGAAATTGAATAACTTCATAGTTGGGGATCTGCCAACTTTGATATACATCCCTGACTTCATCACAGATTCTGAGCAAGCCCAGCTACTAAATAATGTATTTATATCCTTTCTGTATACACACACACACACACATATATTTATTCTTTTGTTTTTAATGTTTGCAACACTAATTTGTATACCCTCATTTCTTGTCCACGTATAGATTTACCAAGCACCTGTATCAAAATGGAAATCTTTGAAGAATCGGAGACTACAGAATTGGGGTTTGTTGAAATAGTTCTATTTATCGTAGTATTTCATTTTTAAATTTCATCTAAGCTAGATGCATATTATAGGTGAAATGTAGGCAACCCTTCAATTTGGCCTGCTGATGGATTGTATGCCTATTGACAGGTGGTGTTGTCCATGAAAAGGGTCTTCTGCCACAAGATTGTGAGTGGGATTATTTGCATCTCTTACTGAATTTCTGAACTTTAGATGATGATATTGTTTAGCTGATGTTTCAAAGTTACTCTGTTTTGTGGAAATTGTTAACAGTTTTCACCCAATTTTTATAGGCTTGGAGACTTTAATTTTGTGATTTTATTACTGTTTTGACTGTCTTCACTTCTTGTGTCTAGTGAAAGAACACCTTACTAACTGCTTGCTTTTCTTTTTTCTTTTGTCCATGCCTAGTGCCTCCTTGGCTAGCAAAGATTACAGAAAGAATATATGAAGGATCAGGACTTTTTCCGTCTGCAATCAATCATGTTCTTATCAATGAATACCTTCCTAATCAAGGAATTATGGTTTGTACTGTTCATTTTGCTTCTTGTGTTTGTTCTCTAATAATATTACTTGTTCTAGCTTAACACATTTGACTGAGGTTTTCAAAAGCATTTCCTGTCCAGAAAAATGATGATTACTCTGGAATATTTCATTTTTCAAGATTTTAATTGGTAGTCAAGGAATATCATTGTACTGTACTGTGTCTGTTTTTTGCTATTATTTTTTACAAAAGAATTAGAAAACAATATTCTTATATTTGATTTGTTAAAACGGAAAAAAGAAAAAGATTTTCTTTCACTTTGGAGCATTATGGTCTGTATTCAGTTTTATCTTTCTGTACTATAATTATCTGTCTTACAGCCACATCAGGATGGGCCTGCTTATTATCCGGTTGTAGCAATTTTATCTCTAGGATCACCTGTTGTTATGGACTTCACTCCTCATCCAAGATTACAGTCATGCAAAAGAACATTGAAGGAAAATGTTGGAGATAAAATTTCTAACAGAGGGGCTGTGGCGATTGAAGCAAATGATGGGAGCTATAATCACTGCCCCTTCTCTGTCCTGTTGATACCTCGCAGTTTACTGATCTTCAAGGATGATGCATATTCAGGAAAGTTCATGTCTTAGGGGTTGTGTTTTATTTATTTTTATTTTATTTTGTTTTCACAAAGAACAAAGAGGAAAAAGAAAAATAAAATATGACAACACTATGCTTATGATTTCCAGATTACTTGCATGGCATTGAGGATTGTGAGGTACATCGGTGTGATCAGGTAAGAATGAAAATGAATTTGACCTCTAATAATTAGTCTTAGATGTTTCAATAAACAAATTTATGGTACCCTGGTATCTTGTTCTCATAGTTATCTTTGCAGGCTGTAAACGAAATTGAAGCTTTGTCCGTATCGAGATCAGGCCAAGCAGAAGTGATGAGAAGTGACAATGCCAAGATTGTGAGTAGAACTGTGAACAGAATTTCTCTTACATGCCGATTAGTGTTGAACGTTCATAAAAACTTGTTCAAGTTTTAAAACTTAGTCTTAACCGTTTCTAACTTCTGGCTAAGATTGAAAGTTGGTGTATTTAGATGAGCATCTGATTAGACAAACTACTTTCAAGAGGTGGAACAAGAGTTTACACACTTTGTTGGTTTTTGTTTGTTGGGCTGGAGAGGTGTCCAAGGTTCGCGTTACCTATCCAGGCCCAATTGTGTTATTATGTTAAAAAATATATATTTTATTTAATTTTGATTTTCAATATATTTAACATATTAGTATAAAAATAATATATTGTTATTTTAATAATAACAATATATTTTAATAATATCTTGGTTGAACAATGCCATCATTAGATTTTTTTATTCTTTTTTTTTTT